TGGAATAATAGAAAAGGCTTGATCAAGTGATATTTCTCCAACGGAGAAAAGTACTAAACTGCATCCGCTATGAAAAAAAACTGACAAATTTCTTAATGGCCAAAGATTAAATATAAAGTGTAAATAAATATGGACTAAAGAAAAGTTATTCCTATGAGATTTTAAATATCAGAGATTTTAGAGTCAGGCTGATATATTCTAATACTCATTATTTTGCTGATAACTGCTAAATTGGAGGAAAACCATGTTTAAAGTGTGAACAACATGCAAGCATATTGTTTGAGAGAAGCTTGTAAAATGTGTCTGAATTGCAAAATGCAACAATTGAATTTAGGAAGTTTCTCTGAAACTAGCCTGGGACATTTTCATGGTTCGTTCCTGTTTAAAGAGCCGTTAGTTGCTCAGTAATGGTTTTCAAAGGGTGGTTGGAGGATCGGCCCAAAAACCCAATAAGCCTATTTGCTAAATCGCCAACTTTTTTATTAAATGTGTCTTAATTATTGAGAATGTTAACATTTATTTCGCCATAGGGGCTATTGTAAGATTGCTAAACATTAGGAGCATTTTATGCATTATTTCAAGCATAAAGCGTCTCTGACTGCATCTTCAAACTAACAATGTGTCTCCTGCAGGTTTCAGTGATGGATCTCGGGAAAAGAAGTGCAACATTTGCTCGCAGATTTTCACCAAAGAGAGCAAACTGCAGAAGCATCTCCGTGAACATGAGCTTAACGATAAGGTAGGTGTAGGAGACATTTACCTTATTTGACTCTATTTATCTCCAGCCAGGAGAAGCAAACTGTTTTCTACTGTGCTTATTTAGGTGTTATGTTAGTTTATTTTATTCTTAACGGAATTGGAAAGACTTTGAATAAGGAAAATAAATGACTTTAACAATAAATCCAAAGAACACATGCCTATTCTTGATTTAGCTCATTTAAGGCCAAATCCTACTGGCAGAGAAAAAAACCAGTAGCCTAAAATCTAAGATTTTCCAGTAGGAACCGTTCAGGATCACCTGAAAAAGCAAGAAAGCTAATTGCTTTGCTTTCAGCATGTGGTTTGAGTATTTTTTTCTAGTTGTAGTTGTTTATTTTATTAATTTATTTGCCTTCAGCCAGGTTTTCACAACTTAAATTTGCAGAAAACATTTAATCATACACAGGTTTCCTCTGGTATGTAACCTATTTAGGGCTGAAACAATTAATTGGATTAATCATGAGTGATCGATTATTGTAATAATTTTCTATTTTTCTATTTTCGATCCTGTCTTAGTAGTCGATTAATTGTAAATGGTGTATAGAGACTGTAAAAGATGCTTTTAGCTGACAGAACAACCCACTTAGAACAGTAATTATATTAAAAGTGTAAAAAAATATATTAACATTTAGCATTTAAGATAAAAAAAATAAATAAATAAATTTTCATCCATCAATATGTTAAATCCAGAACTCCTCAAATTTAAACATTTTAGTTTCACCTGGTTTAATTTTGTGAAAATTCTTTAAGGAACCTTTTGCAATCCGATTATTAATCGAAAAACTAAAGTTTTTGACAGATTAATAGATTTGCAAATAAATCGTTAGTCGCAGCCTTAAATCTATTACCGTATTATTCCTGAGCGCAATGTTGTTCCTCCTTGAACCCAATAAACCGCGATACATGAATTTGTTATGATTTTATTTTATACAATTAAAAAAAATCCTAAACTTTTCTCAACAGTGTTTAAAATTCCAATCTACATTTGGATATTTGAGAATAGAAAATTTCAAGCTTCACATATAATACTAGCTAAGAAAAATGATTCATTCTTTAAAAGAAAAAATTAAAAATTGTCCACTGTTTTATGCTTTGGTATTCAGCCTCTATAGAATCGCCTTTAACCTGCAACAAAAGGTATAGTTCCATTAGTTCTTTTGGATTCTTTTTCTAATATTACATCTGTTATGATCTTTTCCCGTCACAGCTTTTGTGAAATCCAGCCTGTATTATCTAACAAACATTATCATTGTTCAGAAGGCACTTAGAGGATCGGTGGTGCTCCTCATGCTGCTTATTGAAAATGTCTGTATAGGCTGAGTTTGAGCTGATAACCAAGACTCCATGCAGGGCTGCTGGAGAGTTGGCTGCATACAGAGGAGGAATTGAGAAGCTCTGCATGGGAACTATACAACAGACCCAGCAGATGTGCAATATGTGTGGATGCCTGCCTTATCTGTGGCTATAGGTTTGCTATAGGGTGGGGGGTTACTGTGTTTATAGCTTTCACCTCCTTGGCTGTATTTAGACTTGAGCAACATTGTAGCATATCGGTGACAGTTAACCTAAAAAAACATAATTTAATCTATTTGTATATTAAACAAATAGCAGCTTTTATTTGCATTTATTGTTATTTCATGAAATAACTATAATTGATTACATCTTACAAGCAACTCTGACCTGTAGAAGCAGGCAATAACTTGGACTAAATGCTGTGTGGCATCGTGAAGCAGGCTGTAAGAAGCAGAAACTGGATAGAGTACTTCCCCTTTTTAGAGGCTTTTGGACTCCAGCAAACCGGCAGTGAGGCGTTCTATATAAAAGAGGAAAAACTAGAGCCTTGGTGATCCAAGGGTCAAAATTAATCCAAGAGGGCATCAGCAGCTCATCTAGGAGGGCATGACATTTCTCAGAAAAACATAAAGCATTGCCAACCTCGCTTGCATCAGATAAGATGGATAATTAATGAAGTTACCAGATCATGATGATCAAACACGGAGGCCACAAGACCTCCCAGATGCTGCTGGGGAAATATTCCCAAAACACGTTAAAAACATTTATATTACATTTGGCTCCCAAAAAACTTCATCAGAGCAGGGGTTTGCTTCCTGGAGACGTTTTAACATTACTGCTTTGAAACTCAGACTTTTAATTTAAGACATTCTGAAGTCTTTTATTCTGACTTTGTTGGGGGGATATTTTATATTTTCATTTGTTTTTGTTTTTTTGATTTTAACTGTGGTGTGTATTTGAACTATTCCACTTGTCCTCTACTTTTTTGTGTCTTCCTCAATAAAGGACATGTTCTATTGTATTCTATTCTCCTCT